TACCCAAGTAGCATTGTCATCCACTTTCTAGGTGGCGCTCATCAGAAAATGTCTACTCTCTCGATAGAACGATTTTCTTGAAAGAAAATAGGTATGAAGTAGATCTAGAAAATAGACACAAGAAAATAGACAGATATTACATTTTTTCCTTGTATTTTCTTAAAAGAAAACATTAAGAAATTGGCTAGAAAATAATTCTACTTTCAATAAATTTTCTATCTCCTTTTCCAACTGGGAAGTTGACAGAAAGTAGACCTATGAAATAGATCTATTTTCTTTGGTCAGACTTTTGACTCTCAATGTTTTCCTTTCTATTTTCTGGATAGCTCTCATTTTCTTTGTTTTTTCTAGAAATTTGCTTTTTATTTTTTTCCAAAAAAAAATTTCTATTTTGCTACTTGGGTTTCTACGTTTTAAAGTATACAGTATGACATAGCGAAACATTAAACCTAAAACAAGCTTCTCGTAATGACTCACCATGATTACATCCAACAAAGTAGCATGAAAAAGGAACATGAGTTGAGCTTTGGTCCCAAAGGGCACACTTCTAATGGGAAAGTGCACCGCAATCGATTTTTAATTTTTTTATTGCATTCAATTCCTCTGAAGATGCTGATCTAAAGTCATCAATGCTCCAACTTTCTACGATGACAGTTTTCGCACAAGCTTTCAATTATTCGGTGACGAAAAGTCAGAAAGATTCCTCATTTCAGCACTCGAGTGAACGGTCGGCTGTGTGTCAACAAGGAAATCGGGGAACTCCAATACTGAGATCTCGAATTCTGCTCACCTTATTCCTTGACAATCCAAATCAGTTTTGTGAGGAGCATAAGAACAGGAAAGTCGGAGAAAAACAGTGAACTTCAAACGGACGAGAGCGGAATAAGGGAGATAGCCTTAAAGTAGGCACGAACAAAAAAGATGACAGGCACGCGCTACGTTTTTTCTTATTTACATCAGGCCTGTTCTCGAATGTCTTGTTCTTTTTGGCTCCTTATCGCCGAATAATTGAAACTTTGCGGACGTGTTGTGCGAAAACGGTGCATCGTGGAAAGTTGGCCCAATGGTTTCTTTTGATCAGCATTTTGAGGTAAATTGAATGCAATGAAAAAATGAAAAATCGATTGTGGTGCACTTACCCATAAGGAGTGTGTGGTGTCCTTTAGAAAAATGTATAGAACATCGGAGTTTGATTCTCTATGACGCTAACAAGTTCAGTTTTGAATGACGAATCTCATAATGGTTGGGGGATCTTTCAAAATTGAAGTTAAAATGGTGAAAATATTTCACATGAGTTGGGTGGTTTTCTGTCTTCCATTGCTGAACAAGAAAATTTGCATAAATGGCCATGCAGATACAAATTAAACAAACGCAAGCATGAGGTTAAAAGCGCAAAACAGGCACTTGATAGTATAAAATTTACCAATAGGTATATGGATAATTTTCGTTAGTCTGCAATGGAATTATGAGAGTGATATTGAATTTGCTTTAACGATTTCCTCTTAGGCAAGCGTCACCCATTAAATGAATTTTGCTGTCTTTCTATTTCTCCCCCTCTCGCCCTCTCTCTCTTAAAAAAAATAAAAGTAAACATGACGAAATGCGACCACTGTTGCCCTAACAAGAAGTTTGACCTGTTTGAAGCCTTACTGGTTGCATGGCTACGAAGAAAAAGGAATCATATAGGTAGTTCTTAGTATGGTCTTATCTGATTTTTTACTCAACCTAAAATTCTAGTCCTGGGGACAATATTTCATGATAACGATGATTTCGGTCCCGGTAACGATGCTGCTTGATTGAAAATTCTAGTCTCAGTTTCATTCCTCTGTTACTTTTGTGGCATAATTTTTCCGGCCACGTTAAAAACAGCATCTTTACTAGACCAGAATCATTGTTATTTTTACGACGGAAGTGCGCCGTGCGCTGCGCCTGAGACGAAACTTTTTGGTTGAGCTTGAAGTCAAAATCGAGTGCAACGTTAAAAGTGCGATTCCTTTTTCTCGGTTAGAATCAGTCATCAAAAAGAAACCACGGGCTGAGTTCGCCTTTGAAATTTCAAGCTTATTTTTCACTGAAATTTCAAAACGCCTTTTAAATTTCAATTTTTTTGAAACATTGTAATTTTGATCCCAGAAATACAGAAAATAATATTTAGCACATGATTCAGCGTATGTTGAATTGTTGGACCTCTTCGGTGAGATTTGGATAGGTATTAAGTCATGTGAAGGTATTTTGGTGTTTTTAGGTTGATCCGCCGTGATCCTTGTGCCACTCCCGCTCCCTTCACCATGCTAGTTCCAGACCTAACCTCAAAATTGAATAAAAATCAAAACATGCATAGGAGAACTTTTGATTTATGAAAACAAAACATATGTAAAGTTTGGAAATCATCTGGAATTCGATGAAAAAAATAAATCTGACTTGAAAATTGCAGCAAAAAACAAGTTTTGTTTGAAATATTTTTTTTCAATTATTGAAAATATAGCTCATCTCTCTCAGCCATGAATATAAGAATTGGACCTCTAAGTTCTGGCACTTGTCCAAATAAAGGAGATCAAACCTTGATCGATTCATTAAAATTCTAATGCTTCTCGAGTCACGAGAACAACAAAATTTAAATGTGCCAATGAGGTACTTTGCCTTGCTTTGACAGAATAGGATAGGAGAAGTAAGTAGGCATTTCCTTAAACAATTAATGAACTAACTGTTATTGTTACTCTTAGAGAAAAGAGAGTCCTCTCACAATGGAACATAGTCATCCAATCTCGGATTCCTCAGCCATAGATTGAATATATAGTCTCTTCATTTTATGCTTCAGTCTTAAATCCTGAAGTTCACCTTCTTCTTTATTTTCAGTCCGTTCCTCATTTTTTTCTGATTTAGATGAAACCAATATTTATTTATTGGTGTAATTCTGTGATTAATTCGTCTGGGAAGCACTTTTCACTATTTTGAAGACAAAGTTGCCGATTACAGGATCTAAAATCAATTCTTCAAACAAAATTTGAAATTTCAGCTGAAATTTCAAAATTTTATTTTTCATGAAGAATACGAACTCAGACCATGGGACAGATTGTTTCACGTTTCGAGAGATGAAATCTTCCGTCACTCACCTACGTCACACAATCATTAATATAAACTTCGAAGGATTCAGACTTTCAGTGATTCCACATTTTTCTATTTCACTCGAGAGGTTGCCAGATTGTGCGAAAAATGTGAATATTTTACATTGATTTGAATTGAGAAAAGTGTTAAAAAAGCAAATTATCTGGCAATAATAGAGTCCGGGAGGGACGAGAGGCTGCCTTCCTGGGAAAACCCATGATTTAGCTGGAAATGTCATTAAAACAATTGATTCCGGTTGAAGCATCAATTGTATACTAAGGGAAAGCTATTTTAAAATAATAATTGTAAATGGACACAGATACTACAGAGAGGGAAAAAGGAAAGGGAAAGGAAATGAAATTAGGATATGATTACTTATATGCAATTAGAGAGAATAAAACAAAAACATCAGAGAAATTTATATGCGATGAAAGTATAAGAAAAAAACACGAGTGGGCTCATTGCGATTCTGAACTCGAACTATACTATCGTTGAGCAGTTTTTAGACCCCTACACCACCGATAATCTTCTTATGAGGTAAAGATGAACTTTTGCTACTTCAGCAAGTCAAATCGCGGAAGGAGATCCATGGACTGTCCACCCGATGGGATCGATCCCCATCATCGCTTCATCTCCACACATCTATTCATGTGCAAATGATGGCATGCTCCGGCAACAAGGTTCTGTGACGAAATCATTTTTTCTCCAGAGTCTCCAAAATGTATACATCTTAGTGATCAAATGTCCAATTACTGAGAAAAATGGCTCACGGAGCGAGCCGAATGTCACTCGCGTAGCGAGTGATAAGGGGTCCAGGGGGCGCAGCCCCTTGGCTGGCCGTGACGGACGCGCAAAGCGCGTCAAGAACGGCTAGTAATCATTAATATAAACTTCGTAGGATTTCAATTTTAAGCGATTACACCTTTTTCTATTTTACTCGAGGGGTTGCCAGATTGTGCGATTAATATGAATATTTTACATAGGGTTTAAACTGAAAAAGTCGTGAAAAAGGAACTTATCTGGCAACGGTTACATCTGGGAGGGACGAGAGGCTGCCATCCTGGAAAAACCCATGATTTAGCGGGAAATGTCATTAAATCAAATAGGTTCTGTTTGAAGCTTCAAATGTATATAGTAGGAAAAACTATTTAAAATAATAATAGTAAATGGACAGGGACACAGATGCTACCAAATAAGAAAAAATGAAAGGGAAAGGAAATGAAGTGAGGACATAATTACTAATGCAATCAGAGAGGATAAAACAGAAACATCAGAGAAAATATGTAATGAAAGTATAAGAAAAGAACACGAGGGGGCTTATAGAGATTCGAAACTCGAACTATACTATCGTTGAGCAGTTTTTTAGACCCCTGCGCCATCGATAATCTTCTTAAGAAGTAAAGATGAACTTTTGCTACTTTAGGGAGTCAAATCGCGGGAGGGACCCACGGTAGTCACTATCTTCCATCCGATGCGACTGACGTCCCAATCAAGTGCGTTTTTGAAGAAGTGATCGATCCCCCTCTTTGCTTCACCTCCATATATTTATTAATGTTCAAATGATGGGACGTTTCAGTGACAAGGTTCTGTGACAAAATCATTTTTGTCTTGAGAGACTCCAAAATGTATACATCCTAGTGATCAAATGTCCAACTAGACCAATGACTAGAATATTTCTGAGGAAAAATGGCTCGCGGAGCGAGCCGAATGCCACTCGCGTAGCGAGTGATCGGGGGTCCAGGGGGCACAGGCCCTTGGCTGGCCGTGACAGACGCGCAAAGCGCGTCCAGAACGGCTAGTATCTAGGTAGAGATCGAATCCTTTTTTCACTTCGAGAAATCCATTTTGCCCTACACAGAAACAAATCAGACGGGCAGAAGAAACAAACAACTAACCTTGCACGGATCTTCATCGCAGAAATCAAGGAGAGTTTCACAAAATGCTCTCCCAATATTCTCATAATCTTGAGCGGAAAAATGAGTATCAACACGACTCCCTATGGTGGAGCCGCCAAAAGAGGCCTCCATTGTGTAACTATTACAAACTCCCATCATCCAAATGACTACACGCCCGGTGCCTTCTTTCGATTTTTGAATCCGGAACTTGCAGTTTTCAAACGAAAACTGGAACAAATAAACAGAGCGACGGAGTAACAATGATTTTCCGAATAAAATGCATATCAATAGAGAGCGCTCATAAATTACGGAACGCACTTTATCATCATTTTTGACCCCTCTTCGCCCTTTGTAACGCAACCTTGGGTCCCCCTTAAATATTGCGTAGGTAAAGCTAAATGGAACTCTCCTGAAGATCCCAAAAATTGTGGGGAAAGTTTAAAAATATCCAGCTGATTGATTTTGAAGTACTTTAACCCTTTACTGTATCGCGTTGCCACATGGCAACAGCAATTATTTAATTCATAGTAAATTCAGGAAAGCTCATATTGGTGCCACGTGTGGATTCTAAGGAACTTAACAACATTACCAACCTAAAAACAAGCAGTGAACTCCAACACAATGTGTTGATAAGGCGTGTCATTAACTCGCACATATCAACCCCTTTAGTTTTCATTTACAGAGATTTCAAAATAGGCAAGCAGCACAACAAGAAAATTCATACGATCCAACACTGCGAGGTCAACGACGCACTTTGACGAGACCGTGTATTGTGAATGTAGAAAGCCATTCGAACGAGTTTAAGTTTTTTGATCTGCCCCAAGCAAAATCTTATCAGATTCTTGAAGAAAAATGCTACAAAATAATTTAAGCGAAGAAAGGAAGAATTCTGTCGAACTCCTGAAAGATAAAGTCGATTTAAAGGTACTTTGGGGCTGCAATACCCAAATCACCGGTAGTATAAATCCCGTTGAGTATAATATTGAACTCGATATAAATGCAATTGCATTAAATATGTCTTGATTTTGTTATTTTAAACGTCTTTCCGTGCAAAGAAGTTCAACCATATCCATGCTTTATTCATTCATGAATTGAGAGTAAGCAATCTACATCCCGAAAATCTACCGATTTGCCGTAAGAAATTGTGGAAACTTGATATACAAGGTCGATGCACCACTCGTTGAATTTACCAACCAATTTCGTGAATGCAAATATGTAAAAATCAATATGCTATAGTCATTTTGGGTGCACTTATTTTTCATGAAACAATATTAATTTCAATCCCAAAAAACCATACATTTTCCGTATAAAATCGAAAAATTCGAAATGTGGCGACTCCCTGACGTGAAAATTACATTCTTCGTGTAAAAATACTTATGGATCGATATGCTGAGCAGAAACTATACAGGGTTCTCCAAAAGTCACCTACCACCCCTGTAACTTTTTTCCGAATTGAGATAGAATTTTGAAACTTTGGAAATGTTCCTTGGTTTAAGGTAGCAGCTGTTTGGTCCCTCTTAAGGGGGGCGGGGGCTAACTTTTTTTTTCAAATGACACCCCCCCTTTTGTGATACCTCATTTGAAAGATAATAAAAAAAGAAAATTTTTGGAGCAAAGAGCAGGTCGAAATGTTGATTTTTGACTAAATGGCGGCCGGTCAAAGTTCAAAATGGCGGAAATTTGGCATCTCCGTTTTTTTATCGGCGGATTGGTCTGGAACGCAGAATCCTACGGTTTTTTGGACGAGAAAAACAATTCTGGCATTAGTTTTCCAGAAATGTCAGTCCTTTTTAAAATGGTGGCGGTTAAAATAGCGGCTTAGAGCGGGAAGTGGATATTTCGGCTGCTATCGGATTTGTATGAGACTTGGTACCCGGGGGTATTTTGGCACGAGAAGAACGAATCTTTCATTTGATTTTTGAAATTTTTAAAAACTTTAAAATGGCGGCAAAAAAATGACGGAAAATCCATATCACGGCTGTTTACCGATGGATTTGCACAAAAGGCAATACTTTGGTGGTTTTCGGCTTACATTATAGATTTTTGAAACACTGAATATCGTCAAAATGGTGGCAGAAAAATAACGGAAAACCCGCATCCACCATCGCCGTTCGCATTTTTGCCGCCATTTTAAAGTTTTTAAAAATTTCGAAAATCCAATAAATGATTCGTTCTCTCGTGCCAAAATACCCCCGGATACCAAGTCTCATAAGAATCCCACGATAAGCAGCCTAAATATCCACTTCCATCTCTAAGCCGCTATTTTAACCGCCACCATTTTGATAAGGACTGAAATTTCTGGAAAACTAACGCCAGAATCGTTTTTCTCGTCCCAAAAAACCTTCGGATTCACAGTTTCAGACCAATCCGCCGACAAAAAACAGAGATGCCAAATTTCCGCCATTTTGAACTTGACCGGCCGCCATTTTGTCAAAAATCAACATTTTGACCTGCGGTTTGCGCCAAAAGTTTTCTTTTTTTATTATCTTTTGAATGAGGTATCACAAAAGGGGGGTTGCTATTTGAAAAAAAGTTAGCTCCGCCTCACTTAAGTGGGGCCGCCCCCAACATTTTGGGGGGACCAAAAAGTTGCTACCTTAAACCAAGAAACATTTCCAAAGTTTCAAACTTCTATCTTAATTAGGAAAAAAGTTACAGGGGTGGTAGGTGACTTTTGGATAACCCTGTATGTGTGGACACAGTTAGCAGTCCGCAGCAACATCAATTCAGCAGATTACCGGCAAAAATTAGGTCGGATTTAGCCGCTTTGCCCGCCTTTCCTCGTTATTTACAAACCGTTCCTATACTCTTCTCAAAATTTTTCTCAGATCTTCGTGTTATTATCAGCTTCCGTTTAAATCCCGGTTCGATAACCAAATCGGCTGCCCAAAAAGTAAGCCATTTTTGAAAGGTACTATGTGAGAAATTTGCGATATTATCGGCTATCAGGAAATCACCCCATGGCTATAATTGGTGGTGTAATGTTTGAGTGCTTAAAATAATCGTATTCAAGAAACTAAGGCAATAAACTATGGAGTCAATTTCTATTTAACAACATAACGAGATTCACTACCGGTGATTTAGCTATGATAGCCCCAGAATACTTTTAAAGCGCCCCTTGTAGCACAAAGACGTAAAATTGACCAAAAAAAAATTCGTAAAAAAAGACGTAAAGTAGACCAAAAATGAAATGCCGATGTAGTCTTTTTTACAAGAATAATTCGTAAAGAGTACAAGAGTTTTTACGTAAAAAGATCGAGTTTCTTTACGTAAAAAGTTATGCGCAAAAAAACTCTTGCTGCCTAAAATTGATTAGAATGATAAATCGTAAAGATAAAAATAGACATTTTACCTATAGTCCAGTCATTCTAGCTTTTTACCTTGGACAAATTAGCACAAACTTTCCCTTTGGTATATAGGGTCTCTAGGTACCCAATAAGAGAGAAAAAAAAGTTTACCAAAAAATTCCACCGGGAAAGTGGTCAAATTGCAGTTTTTCAAAATGGCGGCTTGCGGCGATTTTCAAAGAGGACGTGCATACGGATTTTCATTTATAACTCACAAATAATGCGATAAACAAAAAAATTGCTGGAGATCAGATTTAAAGATCACTAAATTTTGATTAAGAATCATATAAAAAAACTTAGGCTTTTATTATTTTTTTTCTTTCCGAATTTTACTATTTAAAAACAACAACCGGCAAAATCTGCTGATAATTCACGATTTTTCGCGTTCTTGACCATTTTTAGGTCAAAATAATTAATTAAAGGTTAAAAATAACGACACCACTGAAAAGTACGCTAAATTTTACATAAGTATACCTATTCATTTTACCTTTTTATATTTTATGGCCTCATTGTGAGACGAATCATTCAAAAGCATGAAGTCAATATTTAACAACAAATTCAGCTGTTTTTTTGCGTTTCCAGCGCTTTCGATCAATTATTTTTCAACAAAAGTACAACTTATATATACTTTTTTGAAAGGTTATAAAATTTGTAAGACAAATAACACACTGGTTTTCCTTTAAATTTTACAACATGTATCTGAAAAGCGTACTTAAGGGAATTACGCTAAAAAATGATTTCTCTAGAAATTGCAGAATTTCAACGATTTTCGACTTTTTGACAGCTGGAAACTAACGATAGGAATCAACGATGGTAATAATTGTTTAGAGCATAAAATTTCCAAAAAATTTCATACCTGAAATTACTGTTCCGAATTTTTTAAAGAGAGTTAGATAAGGCGTTAAAGTTGTCTATTAGAAAAACCCGGCTGCTCTGTTTAGAACCTTTTTCTTAACATATACCCAAAATTTTCAAGTTTAGTCATTTTTGTTTGAAGTAAATTTTATGGTACCAATGTAATAGCACATAAAAGTTAAAAAAATGTTAATGAATAAATTTTTGAAGGTATTTAAGTGTACTTAGAAGCCAATTTTTGAGACGTTAAAAAAGTACAAATTGTTCAATAACAAGGCGTTGTCTCATGTTTTTGTGGTTTTTCATGGCTGCAAACAATTTTTTTTAATCAAACCATGGTAATCATCGAAAAGCTAGTAAAATTTTGTGTAAGAAATATACCTTTATTTGTATTTTTGGCGTCTTTCGTGAAAATGCGGAGGCAATGTTGAAAAAAATTGCAATTTGTCCGAAAAAAATTTTCCCGCGGTTTTTCTTATTTTTTACGTGTTAAAAGGCGTTTAAGAAAAAAACAAGGTGCAAAATGAAAAGTTGATGAAATTTCCCATAACCTAGTGCTATTAAAATTTACCGTAAAACCTTTTTGAGAGGTCTTAGCACTAAATTTTGGTTTAAAAAAAGTTAAGAAAAAAATGATGAAATTTAACTTTTTTGTTATTTTTGCGATTTTATTGCTCTAAAATGAGCTTTAAAGATAAAGTAAATGATGTAACTGAAAAGTACGTTAAATTTTGGTCTAGAAAAGAATGTTCAACATCCTTTTAAGCAATTATATTTGCCGGTAGGGTAATTTTTTCTGGGATCAAAAATGACACTTTTCTGAGAAAAGTCCGTTTTTAGCTCCAATTCCCTAATTTTTAAGCACTTTAAAAGTGTTTGATCAAAAAACCACTATAACCACGTGAAAGTACATAAAATTTTCAATAAAATAGGGTACCTTGTTTCAAACATTCCCATAATATTTGGGTTTGACACGGCTTTATTTAAAATTGTAAAAAATGACAATATTTACAGAATGTTGAGTTT